AAAAAAAAGAATAAATGAATATATATAGATGCGTTTACGATGATGTCAAACTTACAACATTCCAACTTCGAGCAATGAGAAATTGTTCAAGGTACTTTTATATATTATGTCAGTGATATATCGTATATACACACATATATATACGTACCTCGTCTGTTAATGGATAATCTACTTGACCAATTTGGTCTCGAAGTTGTTTTATTCTTTCCCTTTGTTGTTCAGGAGTCAACATAAAGAAAAAGAAAAAAGAAAATAGTACCAAATAGTGTAACTCCTTTTATTGTGACAGGATCTCTCTCTTTCTTTTAATTTTTTTTTTTTTTGTTTTTTAATAATGAGCAAAGCATCGCGGCCGTTAAAGAGAAAAATTAGCCCTGACAACAAGAACTCACGACGTCCTCGATTAAACACATCTGCACCTCCACGCATTCCTGTTCGTCCGACTCTAGCAAGCAGTCGTTCCTCTACACCCGAACCCAAAAAGACAGTGACAACAAAGAGGGTGCCTAGTTGGGATACTCGAGGACAGATGAATCAATTACAGACTAAGCTGGAAGAGACAGGGAATGAAGGTAATGACGAGCTTGAATCATTTATGTTTTTCTAATGGTTAGAGAATAGTGGATGAAATTGAAAAATTACAACATGATTTACAATCCTCAGTTCAAGATCAAGACTCGATTCTACAAGAAGCAAAACAAAAAGTGGCAGATTTGGAAAACACACTTCATGTAAGAAAAGCAAAACGTAAATCTATCTTACTTGACTGTTTTATTATAGGCCAATAAAGCGCGTCATGAAGAAGAGATCAATACCATCGTTCAAAAGTTTCATTTAAAAAGCCGAGAGCTTGTCGAACAGAATAAACGATATAATGAACAGATGCAGAGTTTAGATCAGGAACTGGATGCTTATAACCAACGATACCAAGAGACATTTCATGTGCTGGAAGAAGAAAAGTTTGAAAATAATAAGCTTCGGGCCACGGTCGAAAAGACGTCGGCAGCCTATGCGGATGTGGATGCTGAACTTGTGACATTGAAAATGAGACTTCAGGTATATATAGAGAGTATCATCAGAAACAGACGGCATTGATTTTTTTTTATAATAGAGTTCGGGAACAGTCTTGGAAGAACGTGAGCATGAGGTTAAGGCACTAGAACAGGATCTAGCAGAGAAGAAACAGTTGGCACAAGAGTTGGAAAGTGTGTTGATTGAGGAAGAAACGAATCGTAGGAAGCTTCACAATACAATACAAGAACTGAAGGGCAACATTAGAGTCTTTTGTAGAGTTCGTCCACGCGTTGGTAAGATAAAAGAAGAAAGAAAGAAAAAATGCATACTTATGATAATATAGCCAGAGAAAAAGGATCACAGTTGGCTGAAATCAATTATTTGGGTGAAGATCATGAGAGTATAGAGTTGCTTGAACAAGTATCGTCGACACTGGGAAAATCATCGACAAAGTCATATGCCTTCACATTTGATAAAGTGTTTGGACCAGAGTGTAATCAAGGCGAATGTTTTGAAGAAATATCACAATTGGTCCAATCTGCCTTGGATGGATATAATGTTTGCATCTTCGCGTAAGGGTTATTCTACTTTTAATAGAGAGAGAGTTTTTCATTGATTTGCCCTTATGTAGATATGGACAAACAGGGAGCGGAAAAACGTTCACTATGCAAGGGCCGCCACAGCCAACAGAAGAAACGTCTGGTATGATACCACGAGCAGTACATCAGATATACGATGTTACCCAACAACTAAGACAGTTTGGCTGGGAATATACAATGGAAGGAACATTCTTGGAGATATACAATGAAACAATTCATGATTTACTTGGTGATACAGCAAGTTACGGCAAGATCAAGCATGAAATTCGTCACGAAAAGAACGGAAAGACAGTAGTGACTGATATGACTTCAGGTATATACACACATATATACATGATAGATAGGTTAACTTTTTGTTTATATCAGTTCAACTCGATTCGCCGTCCAAGGTAAAGACGATGCTCAAGCGAGCCAACCAAAATCGAGCTACGGGAGCTACGAATTTGAACGAGAGATCGTCAAGAAGCCACAGTGTGTTCACGTTACAGCTTACGGGGGAAAATATAAAGACGGGAGAACGATCATCGGGTATCTTGAATCTAATCGATCTGGCTGGTTCAGAAAGACTGTCCTTATCTGGCTCTGTGGGCGATCGACTCAAGGAGACACAGGCGATCAACAAGAGTCTGAGTTCATTGGGTGATGTTATACATGCTTTGGTCAACAAGAAAGAAGGAAGCCATATCCCATACAGAAATTCTAAGCTGACTTGGCTGCTGAGAAACTCGCTAGGCGGTAACTGTAAGACGCTCATGTTTGTAAACATATCTCCTCTGGCTGAACACTTTAATGAAACGTTATGTTCACTACGATTTGCTACCAAGGTATACATATATGTTTCATACTATATATAAATATCTTATACATGTAAATATTTAGGTTAATTCATGTCATATTGGAACTGTCAAAAAATTGACCAACAAACATTAGCTATATATATATATGCATTTCATTCTTGTGTACATAAAAATAAAAAAGAAAGAAAATCTATTGCAATCATTGATCCTTAATATTGTGTTTTCCTGGAGCAAAAAAAAGAAAAGATTTCTATAGCTTAGACATGCTCAACAAATAAGTTTTTTTTTTTTTTGTTCCCCACAAGTTGACTGCACCAGAATTTAGCTACAGGATGTTTTTGGGCAGCTGTGGCTTATGAAACCTTTGCCTCAAATGAATGAGTAAGGATAATATAGGCATATGGGTAATACCATACAGCATCATATATTCTTTTTCAATTTTTGGAATCTTTGGCATGGCCTTAACCTGACTACCTTGGCCGGGAAAGTTGCATCTCATGGGAGAGTTCTTTCTCTGGGAGAAGAGGATAAATAAGAGAGGAAAATGGCCTACTTTTTGTCATTCAATCTCTTTTTTTGAACCTTTTCCCACTTCAAAAGAGAAAAAACTCTTCTGCAACCTACTGGTTGGTATATGGTTATGATTGCTAGCCTCTCCTTATTATTATTTATAAAATGTAAATGAAAAATGAAAAAAAAATACCTTTTTCTTTTTTTTCTTTTTGTCAAATAATGAGTAACCGTCTTGAGGAAATAAGTAATTTATCCGATGCGAGTGACCATGAAGAGGATTGGCAAGATGCCGAAACTGAGCAACAGCAACAGCCAACGGAACAAGTGAAAGAAAGGAAGGTAGAGATTGATGAAAGTAGTCTTCGAAAAAAGATTAAAGAGATTCAAGAAGATTCTAGTCTTAGTCCCAAAGACAAAGCCAAACGCATCCAGGTAAATGGTGTGGTTTGTTTCTTGTACTTTTTATATTGAACAGCTCGTATATAGAATTTGATGTCTCATGGGACAACTGAGCCTTCATCGAATGAACAATTGCAAAACGAGATTTACAGTAAAAGTTATCATGTATGTGTGGTTTGTTATATATATATATCAATATATTCTAATATAAAGTGTAGAAGGAACAAGAAAACATCTTGGGATGTAAGCACTATCAACGCAACTGCAAGCTGCAAGCCAACTGCTGTGAAAGGATATACACGTGCCGTTTCTGTCATGACGATGTTGAAGGACACAACATTGTGAGGTAAGTTTGTATATATGTTTGTTTATCACTTTTTTTAATAACAAACACGGATAGACATGAGACCAAGAATATGCTATGTATGCTCTGCTTGCATCTTCAACCAGCAGCTCAGCATTGCAGACAGTGTCATCAACAGATGGCTCGATACTATTGTGACAAGTGCAAGTTGTGGGATAATGATCCGCGAAAGGCTATCTATCACTGTGATGACTGTGGTATCTGTAGACAAGGTAAACAAGAGGATTTCTTTCATTGCAAAAAGTGCAATATATGCATGGTTAAGTCTATGACGGACCATAAATGCATCGAAAGGAATTTAGAATGTGATTGTCCTATCTGTGGTGAATACATGTTTACGAGTACGACCACTGTGATCTTTATGGTAATACAAGAAAATGATAATATTTATAAACATTAATTATGATATAGCCATGCGGACATTGCATCCATAAACACTGTTATACAGCCTACATCCAAACCTCGTACCAGTGTCCTACCTGCTTAAAGTCGTTAGGTGACATGTCAGAGTACTTTGAACGGCTCGATAAGGATCTCGAACGACAACCGATGCCTCCCGAGTACGACAAGTATATCTCTCATATCTTTTGTAATGACTGCGAAAAGAAAACGCCGGCCAAATATCACTTCTTTTATCACAAGTGTGGTCACTGTGGTAGTTTCAACACGACTGTCCTTAAAACGGAAAATACAGAAGAAACAGCCAGAGGAGAGTCGTCCAATGAACAACAGCCGTTGGAACAAGCTATGCAGAGACCAGGAATGAATCATGATCGAAATACCATGGCGGGACCAAGTTCTTCAAGAACAAATAATCCTGATTCAAATGAAGGCTAAAAAAGAAAAAAAAAAAAAAATGAAAATGCCAAGTTACACACACAGATCCTTTGTTCATTTGTATTAAAAAAAACAATCTCATATGATGTCTTCACATTATTGTTTGAATGCTATTAAAAGCATAGTCTACAAGAAAATATAGGGATGACGTGTGAGAACAATTGAAGGGGGAAGAAAGAGAGAGAGAGATGGGAGCAATAGTGAGCACGTTTTTTTTTATTTTCCTCTTTCTGTCTTTTTTTTATTTTCCCTCTTTTTGATGTTGTTCCTTTTTTCTCTATTGTTTTTCATTAAAAATTTTTTTCCCTTTCTCTCTTTCTTTTTTTTTTTTCTAGTTTTGCAGAAAATATAAGGTAGAAAATTTGTGTTTTCTACTTTCCCCTTTTCTCTTTTCTCTTGTTTATATACGTGTATATATAATATGCATATACCATCTGGCTGTTCAAAAATAGAAAACTCATTAATAATTGATAAAATTAAAGGCTTAATATTTGGTGAGTTTTTTTTTAATTTTTTTAATATACGGTTGGATAAAGTGCTTATATTTAATTTTTAGGTGCTATATTAGGAGATAGTATTGGTATAGCAACAGAAGGATTATCCAAGGATGACATCAAAAAAATCTATGGAAAAGGGCCGGTGCGATTTGGCATGGATGAGGATGGAATCCCTTTTATAAGAGATGAATATAGATCCAATTTTGAAGAAAAGTAAATGCGGGAATACACACACATTGGTATAATCTGACTTTATATTTAGTGATTTTGGTGATGACACAGAACAGATACTATTGATCATTGATTCCGTATTAGAAAATAATGGCCACTTTCATTCAAAAGACTATACATCAAGATTATTAGGATATCATAGTGTATCTATAAATACTGTAAGGATATTTCTTAATAGAAAGAGTAAGTAAGTTTACATTTTTTACTATAGCGAAAAAGAGCCCACTTGAAAAGCATGTGTAGTGCTCTCGTACGTGCTCCTTTACTAGGCACACTAAAATTTTGGGATGGCACGAGTGTGATTGAAAACACCACAAACAGTTGCCGAATTACTCACTCAGACCCACGTTGTATGATATCATGTGTGATTATTTCTATACTCATTGCTAGGTACAATAGAAAAAATTTAGTCTACATTTATCTGAACTCATCACATCCTAGACTTTTAAGAGGACAAGATTTAGAGATAAAGCAAAAACCTACACCTATACCCACCCTACTTCACTCTCCTCCCTTGACAGATTATTTTATAGACAGTCTTACGACAGATCAAACCTTGCAAGTCTTGGTACGAGATGTCATCGAAACCAACAAGCAGGTCTTTCACGGCTCTTATTGTGATACTTTCTTTGCATCCAAGGTAGACCAGGATCAAATGCTACACTATTATCATCAACTGCTCGCTTGCTGCGAACCCAGCTCGTTGACTAGTCTTCAATTGGATAAGTCAGCAGATGACGTCTTTAAATCGCTAGGGGCCGCCATGTACTGCTTTACAAGAGCCATACCGCCTCAAAGCGAAACAGAGTATTTCAAAAAAATAATCATGGACGTCATTATGCAGGGTGGTGAAGCTGACATTAACGCTACTACAGCAGGAGCTATATTAGGTGCAAGATTAGGATACAGTCAATTACCAACTGAATGGGTGGTTGGGATGAGACGTTGGGAATGGCTGGAGGATAGAGTAGATGAATTTTGTGCATTGTTTTAAATAAACAACTTTAATGAACCCTTATCACTGTCATCTTTTTTAAACAAGTTTTTGCTTTAAACTTGACATTGTGCTCCCGTTAACATATAGCGGGTTTTTGCCGTGGTTTCCCTAGTAAAAGGGGGAAGTTACACGCCACTTTTTTTTAAAGCCAGGGCCGTGTCGCGAGATTTTTTTTTTCTCCACGTTAGGTTGGACAAGCCTTTTTCTTTTACAGCAGTCAGGGCTTTTTGGTAGGCCGGGTGATCATTGTACATCAAGGAGTGTAACATTGTACATGTAAGCAGGCACACATGTACTCTCTGTTATGCAAAAAAAAAAAAACTTGATTAGCCTCTTTTATACAGTGCTTCCAGCAAGCAATGTCACGCACAGTCAAAGTGGATGATTTCTTGGCATTCGAAAAAACTACAAAAGCAAACGTTTCCCTTTTTTCAAGACATGATATTTTTCTCTTCTATTTTTTACATTTAGCATGAGTGCACTATTTGAGGAGGGGTATGGAAATGTGGTTGATGAGGATGATGGTCCCTGAGCTCCGATGAAAGTGTATCGTTAATCAGGATGAATTTGTTATTGAGGCAGCTGCGACTCATTCTGAATACTTAATGTATTCCTCTAGAGAATCTTCACTAACTTGCCCCAATGTTGATAGAAAAGCCCAAAAGATGAAGACATTCGTATGAAAGAAGCAGACACAAAGCGTGATTACGTGCGCTACAACTATTCAAGATAAGGTTCGATGTTTCGACCTAAAGATTGAAAAGTGTATGAGCGCATCAACTGCAGCGAAGCAGTTGAGGTAATCACATTCGAACCGCTCAGAGATGGGTCAAGCTGTACAACTTGTGCCCTGATAGCATTTTTGAGACTTGTAAACAGATAGATCGCAGATGTAGCTTGACCAAAGAACATAAGACAGTTCTTGTTGATTTCATTGACGGTAATCCTTCTGCTTCTGTCACTGGAGTGACTGAGCATTTGTTGAAACGGTTCAATGATCTCAAAGTTTCACGTAGCACGGTTTATAATCTCATGAGAAGCGAATGTAGCCTTTCGTTGAAGAAAGCTGGCTTCCATTCTGTCGAAAGAAATAGCCCAGCAAAGATTGAGGAGTGATACGATTGGATTTGCAAATGGGGAAAATACAGACATGAGTTTTCTGACGAATTGCGTGTTTCTTGACGAATCTGCTTTTAACATCACTATGAAACGCTCGAGAGCTTGGTCCAGAAAAAGCACGCGTGTGCCATTGTTACCAGGCCGACTACGCGAGCAAACACAATGTCTATATTGAGGGGACTATCTCTGTCGCAGGTTTGATTATAATCGGTGTAAAAA